GGGGCGCTCCTTGCCGCGGGGCGCGCGGGGCTCCGCGGCGCGGGGCGCGGCAAAGGGCGCTGGAGGCGGCGGCGCCGCCCGGCCTCCGCTTCCACGGGCCCTCGGACCGCTGGCCGCGGGGCTCCCGAATTTTGACACCCTCAGGTGGGACTCAGCAGCGTTAAAAACAGAATCCTTATGTCCAACAAGGGGAGGGAAAACTCAGGGTGCTCCAGATCTAGATGAATGGACCTTTGTGCCCGAAGGCCATGCCCAGAACAGCAGTGCGGGTCCTGCCTGTGCCCGTTTCCACAAGCAGGGCTGCAGAGAGGCAGCTGGGACACAGCTCGGAGCCTCCGGCAGCCCCCGCTTCTCTCCTAGGTCCTGACACCCATGCCCTTGTCTGAGCAGAGGGAAACCTGGAGCAGAGCGAGAGCAGAAGACACGCTCAGCATCAGCGGCTGGTGCGTGTGCTGCAGCCCCGGCGCCGGGGTCTGCACTACATGTTGTCTCCGGGTGGGATCCCCCCGGCTCTGAATGAGGCACTACGGCTACGGTGCACGTGGCGAGACACCACCGCCCGAGAATTGTCACCGCCGCGCGGCCTCTCGGGCGCTGCGTGTTCCGCACTCCCTTTTTCATAGCAGGAGGCAAGGCTGGCCACCATAAAACACGCTCTTCCTTGGCAGGAAATGACAGACTTTGTGTGGTTCCCCTAATGCTTGAAGGCTTGTACCCAGTTGTTCTGTTTAGTTCCTCATGTTTCCTTGATTGAAGTCATGCGCTTTGCCCAGAATGCCAGGTGTGTTACGACGTGTCCGTTGAGATTAGCACGTATCCAAGGAGACACGTTCTATCAGATKCAGCGTCAGCCAGTCAAAACTGCAAACCTAGGTAGTTTTTTTTTTTTTTTTTTCATTCTCTGGAATCAGTCCATCTTTACAAGGTTTAAGACCTTAAGCAGAACTTTTTCCATAAAATATTTTTTTTTATTCCTTGAATGAAGCTGCGCTTTCTGCCAGATACCACACTGGCAATGAAAATCTAACGCCTGGACTTTGGCTAAGCAAGATTAAAAGAACAAGAAAAAACAYGTTCCCCTCTCTTTCTTTAGGTCTAGGGTAGTTGGGAATACTGTATTCTTTCCGTGTCCACAGGGTTTTCTAAGACTATAGTGTTTTTAAGGTCTGTTCGGTCTTTTTCTTTGTTTTGAAACAAAGGCATCAGCCACATTTCAAGAATATAAGCATAAATACATATTACAGATATAAGCATAAATACATATTACAGATAAGTATGAACTTAAGTATGAACTTCTGCTACACATTAGAAAACAAGTGCCAAGCACAGAGGCTGTGTTTTATGCACACTCACATTTCAGCACTTCTCCTGTTATCAGTCTGATCTACTTTTTACATTTCCATCAAATGGAAGTGGATTCCGTCATGTATCAGATCACTGCTGGTATTTACAAGTAAGACCTAAYAGCCAACAGCATGAGGAGTACCTGCAAATGTAAAGTCTACATATAAATAATGGCACTCATGCTTACAAGTTYAGATTTCCACAGAGTTGTACCTCGTCTCTTACGGCAGGCTGTCTATAAGCTTCTGAAATCCATTCTAGATTTCTGAAATTCTAATTTTATTCCAATATTGTTATAAGCTTTTCCTTTCTATCAGAATATACTTAGTTTGGTTTACAAGGCTTTAATCAATTGTGAAAAGCACAGACAAAGTCACAAAAGGCAGGATTGTGCATATAAAACTGCAGGTAAATGTGTATGTGAATGTAACCATATCTTATCTTCTAATTGCAGGCCAAGTCCAGTTGGATAGCAGACCTGTATCARCGACTACAGGTACACTATAACACATAGTTTCTGTAATGTGGTTGTTAGGTTTTCAGTAGCAGTAGTAGCAGCCAAAATTTTAAGCCCACTGAGATGCTTAAGTGTAAGAAATAAACAGTTGAACCTAAATAGTAAGTGCAAGAAATAATAGTTGAACCACTTGCAAGTCTTTGCTCTCRTCATTCCCAGGACGAGCATGTTCGTGTACATCATTCTGCTACTGGGGATACTAATGTGATTTACATAGTTTAGCAGAAGAATAGGTGTAAAACTTGCATCTTTTCTATTTTTGTTAGATACAAATACTGTTACATTACCTGCTGTGACTACATCCAACATCAAAGAGAATACTCAGTTTTATAGTATTTGCATTACTGAAATAATTTTTAAAAGTGTATTTTAAGATTACATATGTAAAATCATAACTACTTTTGAGTTTAAGAGACTCTGTTTAAATAAATACAGCCAGCTGATACCTTACATATTCATAGATCATAAATACATGTGCCCAATTTATATATATGACATCCATACATCTCAAATCATACAGTATGACTGTTGGAGTCATGACTTTAAGAACAGCTTCTAAAAGCTGTGCATGAAACAGTTCAGCCACAAATCTAATTACCTGAGTTGTGAATGAGCTTTTCTTTCACACCAACAGTCAAGCTGCGTGGCTGCATGCACACGYTCACCTCGTTCTGTTTTAATGAACGATTGATTTGGCAGCTAAATCACTTTTGGTCTCTCTAACAGATGGAAATCAGAACATCACCGAAGTAGATGCACTTGATAAAAGGTAAAGTTATGATGGCAATGACAGAGGGCTCTGGTATGGCCAACAGTTCAGGGTTTTCTGGTCCTCCTTAAAAATGCAGCTGAATTATTCACCCAACTCAACTTACTTTACCAACCGTGTCCCTATTTCTAGCTACACCAGATGTAGAGTGAGCCTTCTTTTCAGGAAGGCATGAATGCATTCCTGGGAATGCAGTTCTATTATGTAGGCAATGTCCAAAGACCAAAAACAAGAAGACTAAGACAACGGGACCTTGGGTAATAATTCCATAATTTTTAACAATCCACCTTAAARCAGTATTTAGCCCTAGAAAAACTACCCTTCTAGTTTTTATACCCTTCAGATATTCTAAGCCATTTCTAAGCCAAGGAAAGACACCAAAATGGAACATTCCACAGTAAAACAAACAAACTGCACCTCAAAATAGACAAAATATCCCAGCAATATGCCAGAATAACAGCTTGCCTAGAATCAGGTCTAGGAAAGCATGACCTGTGCACCCATTGCACTGGCTCCTGCTAAAGGCATTTTAGCTTCTTTTTGCTGCTCTATCACCTCTGTCAATAGAAGCAGTCAGATTTTTGTATGCCTTTTCCCCTTAAATGCAGCCATGGTAAAGTCTGGAAAGGACCTTTTGGGTCCAAGATTACGATCTGTAGTGTGCTATCACAGTCCTCTGTGCTGCTCTTGTTCATAGCACAGAAAAAAAAGCTCAATTACAGTTCCAAATAAATACATATATATAATCCAACTGTCATGAATAGTATTTAGCTAAATAGAAAACATGTAGATGTGTACCTGCATTTAAGCATACTTGTTTATATACCGTTCTGTGTTTGCTGCTAATGAGATAATGCCTGCTGTGCCAGGAGGCTACCTTAGAGGAATAATTTAACTCTACGTGGCAGCACCTAGTACCCGCCCAACATTTTATTTAATTGCTCTCCGTGACCAAGAATTTCAAAAGGACTTGGTGATTGGGCTTTCTGAGTGACATTACAGGTGGTAAGGTTCTATCCCCTGAAACTGCATCCTCGTAGTTATGAACATCTCAGATAGTGGGAGAACAGAAAGGGAATTCACTTAGCTGTTAATTCATGTGTTAAGAATGTTTTCTATCTCTGGCAACAGACAAACACTTGACCCTGCAGAGCAATACAAAATGAACCACAAAAGAAGAGGAGTTGCATTAATCTTCAATCATGAGCACTTTTTTTGGCATTTAAGGCTGCCAGACAGGCGTGGGACTAATGCAGACAAACAGAATCTGACACGCAGGTAAGAAACTTGCCCTCTCCAGAAAAGCTTAAGAAACTAAACTTCAGAAATTTGCTTCAAATAAGCAGTCACCCAGATCCTATGTGAAAGCATAGAACAAAACATGTTGCAGACAAACACCTATACAGGCTTGGCAAGGACAGCCACGATAAAAAAAGGTTCAAGTCACATTCCTGTAAGTCACTGAAACTGCTAGTACGCGTCATGGATTTCAGTGAGTCCCAGACCTCTCTTCTGAAAAAGGTTCAAAATAACTTTAGGTACTACACTTGTGCTTAAAGTTAGCCTGAGTTTAAAGCCAACTTTTACTGTTTTAGCATAAATTATTCCATTGGGTACTCATTCTCTTAAAATAAAAGCAACTGGCATACATTATTTAAGAAAAGATTTCTGCTAATACTGATCTGTTTTTGTGATAGTTTGAAAGACCTTGGATTTGAAGTCCGATGCTTTGATGACCTGAAAGCAGAAGATATGCTGGAAAAAATTTATGATGGTAGGAGGCTATATATTGATTATATGCAACCATTTGTAGCAGCAATTCTAGATACACCTTACTACTTAATGTTCTACATGTTCATCCTAAAATCACTTCTGTGCAAGAGGGAATGTTTTAACATTTAAGGACTTAAAGGTCAGATTTCAGGTTGCTTATTGTAATAAAAATGAAGCTTCCATGGAGAGAAGTAATGAAGTTGCCAAGAACTGAAAAAAGGTACCTGCAGTAACATTCTCCCTTTTTAGTAGTAGTAGTAGCAGCCTGAAACTTCAGCCACAGTGAATTATTGTACCTTCAGATCTCTGCGGTCTTAAAGCATCTGAAAGTAGAGGTTATTTGAAAAAGAACCAATTTGAGATTAGATAGGATACAAATGTGCTATGTTTTTTTAAACCTTAAACTTAATATTAGCCAGCTAAATGCCACTTGACCGTTTCAGCCTCTGCAGAGGACCACAGTGACACCGACTGCTTTGTATGTGTGATCCTGAGCCACGGGGAGAATGATATTGTTTACGCATATGATGCTCCAATCAAAATTGAAACAATCACAAGCATGTTCAGAGGAGACAGTTGCCAGACTTTGGTAGGAAAGCCTAAAATATTTATCATTCAGGTAAGATGTCCATTTCTGAATTCGGAACAGGGAATACTGATCTGTATCATCACCTTTGATGTAGAAGTCAGTTTTCTTGGAAAAATTTTTCCAAAGAGAAAGTTTTTATATCTTTAAGTTAGAAGATGGAAAACTGTTGCTTAAGTTCTTTTTTTTTTTTTTTTTTCCCTTCTCCTTTAACCTTTTGGTACACTGTAGCAGCATTTAGGACGATATAATTATACACAGAGCAACCAAAACCTCACCTATGTCAGATATATTGTCAGTGTATGTTTAACAATAGGGAAGATGGTAGGAAGACCTTACTGTCAGTTTTTGAAAAAAGTGTGAATAGTCTTAGCTCAATTTCTGCTCTTCACAACTTACACTGCTTAGGTTACACTTCAGAAGACCATCACATTTTTTCACTTTCCCTGTTTCCTTCCAGAAAAGTCCCTTTTCTTGACACTTGAAGAGTGTTGTTCTTGCTAGGYTTAGGTTCTTTTGCTGTCACCTCTGGTTGGCGTCGCTGTAGCGTTTACAGAATCAGTAGAGGCATYATTGGCTTGAAAATTCTTCTTGTGCTCAGTGGTCAAATAAAGCCCACATGGAACCTCCTGGTTCACTTCCTGGTTCATACAGTAATAGGATAATTCAGGCTAAAATCAACTTCTGGAGGTCTCTAGTCCAGATCCTGCTCAGAAAGCAGGGTCAGCTGTGATTTCAGACATAGGCTTTTCGCAGGTTTCATTAAGCCAATTCAGATGGGAACCTGACCTTGAGCACGTGGTAAAAATTGCTACAATATGTAATAATTTATATAGCTAGGATTGTGCCTAAAAGCAGCCATCTTCAAAGAAAAAACAACAAAAAAACCCAACCTCACATCTTTATGAATTACCATTTTCATATGAAAGCTAATGCACTACAACACTACAAAAATTAGTAGTAGTTCATCTTTCATTAAGACTCTTTCAGCTTTGAAAAAGACTCTTTCAGCACTGTTAAATCAGGTGTCCAAAGATGTAAACATTTACATATTTCAATAATGTATACATATAATAATATTCAGAAACATTTACCATATATAATCACCAAGAAGCAAATGGACTTGGTTTGGTTCATAAGCTAACTTCACTTACAGCAAAAAATACTCATTTAGCATTTGCCATTGGAAATCACAAAGGATGCAGCGGTGAAGTTCTGTCCTTACTGCTAATGAAAGAGAAATTTGGAAGTTTCTCTCTTAGTGACAGCTGTTAAGTCGTGCTTGTTACCTGCTTTATAGCTCTGAGCATCTGCTTATCTTCTTATCCTCCACGTACAGCCTTCCTGCAACACTGACCTTTCCAGCCTGCTACTGATCTCTCCCTCTCTCTGTCTCTCTGTCTCTCTCTGTCTCTCTGTCTCTCTCTCTCTCTCTCTCTCTCTCTCTCTCTCTCACACACACACACACACACACACACAGAGAGACAGACAGACAGAGACAGACAGAGAAAGAGAGAGAGACAAAACATTTGTCTGTACTAAAGAAGTGTAATAGCATATAACGATGGTTGTGCTTCAATGCAGTTATCTCAGAGTTTTCTCTGGAATTTAATGATATGATTGATGGAGACATAAATGGGGCTTTATAAATTCACCTTCTCAGTAAAAAAGCATATCTTTCCCTCTGCTAGGCATGTCGAGGTGATAAACACGATGATGCAGTTGCTTTTCGTGATTTAGTAGACAGTAAAGAGGATGAACCTGAGACTGAAGTGGATGCATCAGGTGTCTACACTCTGCCTGCTGGTGCAGACTTTCTAATGTGCTACTCTGTGGCACAAGGTAAAGTTCAAATATTTTACATACTTGTTTCTGATCTTTCCTTGTAACATGCTTCTTCAGATGGCAGTCTAAACAAGCAGCATAGTTACACATAGTTTTCCATGGCTGATTATGAACCATGTTTGCTCTAGCAAAGAACAACATATGTTAAGAAAATAAAAAGTGGAAATAAACTGTCACAGCTTCAGAAATGTTCTTCTTCACAGCCTTGCTGTGGTGCTGTCTCCCGACAGCAAGCATTATCCTCTTTTCCAGAACTCTGCTGTGTTTAAATTTCCTGGCACTATATGGCCGTCTGCCCTGCTCCAGAAAGCATGTTGAGTCCGCTCCCACTGGCTCTCTTGTAACTGGCAGGCATTGTCCTGTGGCCAGGGGGCTGTCACTGCCCCAGTCAGTGTTCCTTTTGACTGAACAAGAGATCTAAGGCAGCTCAAAGCCTTATCACTTGTATAAGTTCCTTGAAAATCACGTAGTTGACAAAATAGGACTTATACCCATTAATACCACCACTGACTGCACCTATGGATGAAGCTAGCAAGCTGGTAACTCTCATGAATATTCTTCAAGGGGAACGAATCTTTTAGCTGACTATAACTTTATGTTCCTGTTCCACAACAGGGTACTTTTCCCACCGTGACACTGTGTGTGGCTCCTGGTACGTTCAAGATTTGTGCGAGGCGCTTAGAAAGCACGGCTCTTCCTTGGAAATCTCSGAACTTCTCACTCTTGTTAACAGGACAGTGTCTCATCGCACTGTAGAGAAGTGTAGAGATACCAGTTTAATAGGAAAGAAACAGATTCCTTGTTTTGCCTCAATGTTAACTAAAAAGCTCTATTTTCATCCCAAATCTAACAGTTAAAATTACTGGTTAATGCAGAAAATGGAAGAAATGGGATCTTAATTCAAGGAAACTAATACTGTGTATTTTCTGCAGTCTATGTTTTTTCAAATCTTGAAAATTATTCTACAAGTTTATTTTGCAAAAACACTAAGATGAAACTTTTTATATACTATTCTACAATTTTTTTAAAGCAATTTTAAACTTGATGGTGCAAGCTCTGTTCATCTCAGGCAATTYGGGGAATGCTGACTGGTGCAAGACCAATAGAGGTGCTCAGATTTTATTAAAATAAACTTGTTCAAAGATTTTTTTCTTGACTTTCATCTAACTATGRTGCATTTTACTACTTCCAAAACCTTTTAAATGCTCCATCAGATGAGCTTTTTTTGTTCCAGGAGCTTCCCCAGTTTACAGCAGATAGACACATTTTTATGAATACCTAAACAGCCTTGCTTTTGATACATTCTGAACTTGTGTGTCCACCTTTACATTTCTGTAATTTATTGAGCTTTTCGGCCACAACTTTTCTATATTTCTCCAAGACGACAAATATACTAGTTGAGTACCACTGCTATATTGAAACAAGCTCAATAAGAAAGGTGTTTTTTTTTGCTTGCACGTCCTTTACATTCAAAGTGTAATTAAAGTTTGCTGGTGTTTTACACCCTTGGGATGAGCATAAGTACTGGCAAAACAAGACTACATAAAGCTTGCTTTTAGCATTAGCTTGAACATATTTGGGCTTCACCAACATTCCTTGTGAGGAGTAAGTTAGCAGCTAAAGCAAATCACTTTGAATATCACCTGCAACTCCCCTGGAGATCTCTTGGCTTACTCTCCAAACTACAGCATATGCAGACATTACACTCCAGGCCTTGCTGCTGGATTGGCCTCTCCTTGCCCTTGGCCCCAGACAAGTTCATTTATACCCTGTCTTGAGCTACGCTGGTCACCACAGGCTGTTTCCAGGTGCTACTGTAGAATCCTCAGTAATTTACATCATGCTCAATGGAAGCAAGTACTTCTTTATTAGTGTATTAACACATATCACTTTTACATTATTGATGCATATGCTTAGCTGTGGGGTATGATGGAGAACTCAGAGAATAAAATCATAATCCGAATTTCCTGAGTATAAAATCATTGGTTTACTTGGTCTGCTTCAGTTAAATCCTTCCATGTATCATGCTTTAACTCACAGGTGTTAAATTTTATTATGGTTTCCTTTATGCTTTGTACGAATCATGTATCTTTTACTGTTTTGATAATCTTTTTCAATAAAATGAAAGAGTAAAGCAAATTTTATAGTGACCGAATTTGATATTTCTTAGCTTTCAGTTTTAAGTCTAGCCCCCCAAATGGTGTTGTACCCATGAGAGCACAGAGCTGGGGACAAGGAAGCCATCACTTTGTAAGAAATTTTCTCAACTACTGTTGTGCAATAGCAAATGGTCCTTATAGGACAGCCCTCATTCTCAAAGCATCCCGGTCATTATGCCAGTGACAGATATGCCACTAACTTAATACTGAGATWTGAAAATACCTTTTGGAACTTCGCTTCAGCAGCTTCTCCATATATTAAAAAACGCAAAACAATCAAGTGATTGAATAATTTTTATATATTTACTGTAACTTTCAAAACTAGTGGTCAAAAACATTTCAAGAGTAATAAATGCTCATATCATTTTTGAAAGGACAAACCAGTTATTTATAGACAAAAAAAAAAGAAATCAATCCTTGTCATTGATTTGCTGGATCGGAAGCCTCAGCTGTAGTGGTTGGCGCAGACGCCTCAGCGACTCCTCAGCCTGTCAGCACAAAGGAAGAGTAAGAGACATTTAGGCCATTCAGCCAGTGCCCAGAYGGCAGAGGGTGTCCTGTTGTCCCCACCCCACAGAAATTACAGGATTCCTTCTCACAAACCACTGAAAAAAGCAACAAACCACAACTTTTCACCATACATGATTTACCAAGTGATAYCTTAAGCAATAGTCTTGAACTAAAATTAATGGTCATTTCAATCATAATGAGGCATTAAACACACAGCTGGACATGAAGTGGGGGAGGCAGGACAAGGGAAGGAGAATTGGAGGGAAGTGGGTAGAGATTTGCCCTCCTCTTCCCTGCCATGGGCCACACCGTTTCTGCCAGGCTCGTCCTGCAGCTTTACAAAATGCAGGAGACTGCAGGGAAGCCCAGGCCTCCCGCCCGGGCTTTAGCATTAAGCTCTCAAAAGCCAAACTCCACCAGACAGTCTCTTTCCAAGGCAGCAAGCCTGAATTACCCCAGCCGGCAGCAGATGTGCTCTTTTTGAAAGCAGCACAGCTGTTCTATTAAAAGAGCTGAACATGCAAAATATAAAGCAAAAATATGCAAAATATTTAAATATGCAAAAAAATGACATGTAGGACTGACAACCTGACTTATTTTTTCAATGAAATTCAYGAAGGTCTCTTTCTGATGATATGCTAAAGCAGTGTGTATGTCAGTGACAAACATACCACATGGTTATTTAAGCAGCTCAAATTGGCTGATAAGTAATAAGCTGTTCTGAATCTAAATAACAAATGTTAAAGTCAAATTTCTGTTAACTTGAGTTTACTGAAAAGTCCTAGTTTAGGGGCCATCTCATTATTTAAGGACTTGGTGTAAATACCTCTGCTAGGTCTTCTTTTAGCTTGTTGTATTGTTGCACGTTGAAACGCTGACTTTTGGATTTCCGATAGAAGTAGTGGAGGAACTGCCTGTCTTTAGCATGTGGATAAATGTAGTCCTGGAAGAGAAAGCAGGGWGTATTCTTGAGGGAAAGCAGGGAACATTCTTGAGGTTAGCAAGAAATATGGGCAGATGTCAGAAGATTAGGTGTACAGAAGTTTTCAGTATAAACTTAGCCTGTTTCAGGAGCTAACCTAGTTTAACAGGTACTTGGAGAAAATACTCAGTCTAAAGGAATTTTCAACCATGATAAAGGCACATCTTGATTTTCATGACTGGAGCCATCTGAATGAAYGGAAGTGACTTTCCAGGGAGTCAGAGAAAGTTCAACTGCTTTTTCTTAGAGATAATATTTAAAAGTGTTCAATAGGTGCACTGGATGCTCAAAAAAGCCACACAGTGGTCTAAAAAGTAGGAATGCCTTAGCCTGTCTTAAAAATCAGTGAGGAGTAAAACTTGCATTCTGAGTTGGCTGTTCCTAACCATGTCACCTCTTGTTACTAAATGAATCTGACATCCCATGAGTTCTGTGTTTGGCATTACGGAAGCCAGTGTGGGTTACTCTTCTGCATCAACAGCTCTGCATCACACAAAGCTTATCATGAAGGTGTCCATTTTGTGAATAAAGCTAGTATAGGGAAATAGCTAATACAGGGGAAACAAAAAGGAAGATTTCTCTAAGCAATATGTGATTTCAGGACTGGTCTGCATTCTGCAGTTCAGTGAGAACCTGCTTTTTACATTACTCAGCAATTTTTTTTCTTTTCTTCTTAACAACACCCAATTCACCCCATACTKCAGCTGTCATGGATTTGCCTCTGTTCATTATAAGCAAAGGAAAAGTATTCAGGCTGTGAAGCAGCAGTACAAAAAAGGTAGATATATTTCAATACTGCAATTGCCAGATTTCCTGCCAGTTTGCCCCTCTGAACTGTTGGTATGTGAACTCCAGCAAACGAAGGAAGTGATTTGCTCCCCAATCTGCTCCTAAAGCAGCGCTCATGAACCTCCACAGCACTACTAGCTGCTCTCTCTTTACAGCAATGGGCAAGGTGCTAATTATATTTCAAAGTGATCTGGAAGACKTTAATATAAAAGGGCACATTTCACTCAGCAGTTTTGACTGACCAGGTTACAATATCTTACAAATAGCAGTTCTGCTCAGCAGCTTGCCCGCAGTTCCCATATAACAGCCCCAGCTCGATTTCCTGCAGCACACAGCTGGGTTAGCAAACCAAGTGCCCCCTGGACAGCAAGGCTACTGACATACGTGCATCACTGCCAAGCACTGTGATTTACACAGTCGATTTTACAATATTCCAGACATACACAGAAGGAGGACTTACCTGTTTAGTTAGMACAAAGTAGGCATAAAAAGCCATGGCACTCCCGTAGGTGATGAAGTAGGTGACTGGCTCCATGATATCCCAGGAGTAGACCCACCACGTGAGCCACGCCAACGCTCCCCCTTGGGTCGACATCAGAGCTAAGCCCACCCAGAGAAGCCTGGAGGTCTTTGCATCTGCACTGTCTGCAATTCTGTCTTTCATCTAAGGAAAATAAACAGAGAAACCTGTTTGGCCAGAATATGACTCCAACTCACAAGCAGCTTTTCAGCTATGTTCTGTGCTGCTGGGACAAATCCTTTTGTCAGGGTTTTCCTCTTACCTAACCACCTGGCCAAGAGAAGATGAGAGAAGTCCAAAGCCAACAGGTAACTCCTAGCTATTGCACCCCAGGAGATATTGCTGTTAATCTCACCTTCCCACTATTAAGAGATTTACATCTCCTGGATTTCCTTTTATCATTTAAGGCAGTTCTGGTTAATGCTTTCTGAGCCTGGTCCTCACATAGCAAGTCTGAAGCCAACAGTAGCGAGGAAAAGATGTTCACCCTGTCAGGCTCTTTCCAGCTTGTCCCCTCATACTGAGTTAGCACAGCCTTTCCTACAATGTATTTCATAACTTCTTTTCTTGCATTATGCCAAACTACAGTCCAAACAATTTGGCTGCCCTGGTGATTATAGAAAACCCTAGCCAAAGCTACAGATAATTTCTGTCTCACCAGTGTTTTTCCCCCCCTCCCTCTGTAAAAGGTATTCAGAACTGATGCAGCAAAAGATGACTAAGTAGACTCTCACTCCTAATACTTGCCACAAAAAGGCTTGTTCATTATGGTTTTGTCTAGTTCTCTGGTTTCTACCTGAGGAATGTGCACAGCAGAAAGGATATGAATTGAGCYGAAAATAATCATGTATTTGAACAGACTCTCATTTACCTGACAAATAAGAGAAACACACCCTAGCCATTCGTGCTCATCTCTTTGTATGACAAAAGGCATTACTGCTGAAAACAAGCCCTGTTGAGATTTACAGTAAAAATAATCCCCCTTTCCAACCTGTTCAAGAGGCAGCAGTTGTTCTTTCAAATATTCCAGTTTCTGTAGTAATTCTCTCTCTTTCTTGACCTGGTGATCTTCTATGTGTATAGCCACAAACAGTCTGTGAACCAAGGATTTGATATCTTCCATTTCAGTAGCATGCTCACTGCTCAGCTTACCTAAGAATAAAATGTTTGTCATAACCAATTCAGAAGCTTACCCTCTTCATTCTCCTTTCCAGCCCCTCAAAAAAGCAGAGAAAAATCAGATGAAACAAAAGCAAAGAAGGATTCCTTTTTCCAGACAGGTTCCTATTCTCTGAACCTTTTGGATGCATTTCATTGATGAGATGAGATAATAGGGTCATTAAATGTTTGTGTTGTTCATGAGTTGTTCAAAAGGTTCATACCTTTTTTAGGAGCTGACACGCTGTATGTTTTGCCATTGATAACAAGTTTAAAATCATTCATCAGTAAGACTTCCATCAAGGTTGCATCAGAGACCTTGCTACCATCTGCAGAAGAAAGATTTAAGCAAGAAATCATTTTAATCATAAAAGATCTTAAAGATAGCTTAAAAATTAGCTAGTTGAGAAGTAGAGAGCTAGACTCTCCAGTACAAGGAAGACAAGTAATCACAGAGGTGACTCTGGAGACTCCTCTTGTACTTTTTTATACAAAAAGTCACAGGAACGCTATTTACAGGAATGCTATCCCATCAGCAACATAGAAAACAGGCTAAGACAAATATTCACATCTATTTTTTCAGTCAGTTAGAACTGGAAACAAGGGGGCAACTGAGACCTTCAGTGAGAAAAACTCCTTATTTATTTTTTGTATTTGTTGCTTTTCTCATTCCCCTTCTGCCAATCTCCTTTGCAAAAAGCCCTTTCACTCAAAGGACAATATTTGTGTCTGCCTAGGGTTTACAGAAGATTTGCCTTTGGTAGATGGAACCCAATTCTAATAAATTAATTGGCTCTTTTCCAATTGCATGGACACACCGCAAGCCCTTCCCAAGGCATTCTCAGCACAGCAGACCTTGCAAGATTAGCACTCTGGCAGCATTTCTTATCTCTCAATCAGGAAAACACATGCATCCAAATGAGGAATGGACTCTTCCTCTCTGACATGCCAAACACTAGGACAAATGYGTCTAGAAACTCTGCTGCAAATTCAGACAGCCCAAGGAGCAGGGTGCTCAGAGCGCTGCTGCCGGACGTGCGACGCAGCCGGACGTGTGGCACGAGGGCTGCTGTGGAGCAGCTGGCCTTTAGCACCTTCGTTCCCTTATACACGAAAAGGGCACCTTCCCCTGCGCCTACAGAGGGGGGCCCAGGAGGTGGAAAACGGAAGCTYTGCTCCTGACATGAATATTGATCAGACTATACAGCTTAATGAAGGTTTCTGTATGTAAACGTTCGTCACAGCGCTGCTGCCCCAGCTCCTCCATCTGTCTCCATGTGCCCGCCACAGAAAGGCACTGCTGAAAACCCCACATCTGYAATTATTTATTCACTGGATCTCTGCTGTCTGGTCCCATCTGCTGGGATTTAGACTACAGAACTCCACGAGCGAATGCACCAGCTGGCTCACTGACCCGCTCTGTGCGTAGCGAGGCAAGTCTGGAAGACTGTCACTTTCAACCCAAAATTTGAAATTTTAATGCACCCATTCACTCTTATTTATTTATTCTTACACATTAATAAGACWTCAAAACTAATTTGCATGTAAATTAAGGTGATATTTATAAAGTGACATTAAGGCAAATTGTTTTTCAAAGGAGTGCTCAACAAGCTCTTTGTTCTGCATCTGGCACAACACAGATTAACTTGTCCAATCCTTCCCTCACTGAAAAGCTGAAAAGTATTTAGTTTGTTGGTTTTGTTGCTGTTATTGTTTTGTTTTTTGTTTGTTTTAACATGAAATTCCATCAATGCTTTCAGCAAGAGGATACTTTCTTATATCTAAGCATGGGTGTTGAAATGTGGACAACGTCTACTGAATTTTTTCAGGGCTAGGACTATACCTGCAGAAAGAGTATCAAATATGCTTCTATGACTTCAATTAATGACCAAATGAAGAGGAGGAAAAAGAAAAAAAAAAAAAAGAAAAAAGTTGCTTGCTGGGTTGCTACTCACTTTAAATATGATCCCAGAGGATAAGAGAAATTTGAAAAGATGTATTTATTTAAAAAAAGCACGACAAAGAGAAGCTACTTTAAAATATTAGAGGAAGCTATTTGGATGTAAGGAATGTTATATTATTATGTCCAACTTTGCTTTATAAACAAGCCTTTCCAAGAGGACTCCGATACTGATAACTGAAAAAAAAAGCTCAGAACCATTCCAAGGTAAAACACAACAGAAATTCAAGGTACCTCTTGCAAAGACTTCTGCCTTCTCAATTCCTTTATCTTCTCTCTGTACATCCTGCAGAAATGCTCCAACTGTCACTACCATTGGCTTGATAGTAAACTGACAGCGCTCTCCTCTCGTGGGCAAAGTAAGAGTTACCACAGGAAGACCATATCTGTAATTAACAGTCACTTCTGGGAGGGAGGAAAAGGAAAGTATGGTGAGTGAAAAAGCCATACTGTAAACTGCAGTTAAACTTAGCCCTTTCTAAAGCATGTAATAAATAAAGAACCACCACACAGTACTATCTGGATGAATGAATGCAGTACTGGCATTTCTAGGGCACTATGTACAACAAGCAGCTAATTTCATCTCACTCTATCCCCCATAAAACAAGCAGGTGCCCTCCTGGTTTTAATCAGAGAGCAGCACAGAGTGGGGATGGAGGTGGGCTATGGGGGGAATATAGGCTAGTGTAACACTAATGCCCACTCCACATTTTAGTCTTTTTTACACCCCCACCCAGAGGCTGGAATGGAAAAATCTGTTGATGAAGGCAGGAAAGCAGCTGATGGGAAATGTTACCATCAGATGGCACCAGGGTGCTGCAACATGCKCCTTTCTGCTGTGTCCAGCTTGTAGTTTGCCTCAACTGCTGCACCTGTAACACAGACCAGGGAGATGTGTTTTTGGGAAGGTTAGCACACAAGATTAATCTAGGGAAAAGCGGTACCCAGCCCATCCTCGTGGTCTGCTTCTGCGCGATTCGACAGCAGACGGGTATTGCTGGAAAACACCATCACTCAATCGGTTTCTTCTTTTTAAAGGATACAAACATCCCTCCTAGCAAGTATGAGTTTCACTAGAGGCAGAATACTGCTTTGCCTTCCACGGCTTATAAATACCAAGAACAATGAGCCAACCAAAYGAAACCTCCCAACCCAAGCAGTGCTCCTGAAATACTTCACTCTGGCTCTCAGAACAGGCTCTGCTCTCCTCCCAAGAAAGCGCCAGCACCCGAGCTTTGCCACCGCTGCGGGGGCCTCAAAGCAGCAGCGCTGGGCAAGCAGAGGCACCAGGGGAAAGCCCAAGCACCTGCCCGGGGCCCCCAGCACAACCTGCGGCAGAGGCAGGGTCTCAGCAGCCAGGCCTGGCCGCGGAGCCTTCGGCACAGCGGGAGCCTTCCAGCAGCGAGCGGAAGGAGAGCCGGGGGGCTCCGGCCYCCCCCCTTTCTTCACACTTACACATGTGGTGGAATAACCAGAACACCAGAGGCGACAGGCATTACTGACACTCATGGTATTACAAGAAGATGATAGCAGTGCAGCTTGTCCAAGTATCAAAGAGCTATTGYTATTATTATTATTTTTAAATCCATATGAGATTTTAAAATAAAATAAATCACTCTGGGAATTTCTAACACTGGGAAATTTGTATAATGTAATCTTTAGRCATCAAAGGCAGACAGAAACCTAGACAAACTACCAAAACATCTAAGAGAAACTGTTCAATATAAGAGTAATATGAAAACATTATTATAAAAAAAAGTAACGACCACCAATCACAAAGAGCGCAGCAATGCCATGCAGCACAGCAAAGCTACAGCATGCACACAATGTCACATGCATGTAACCTCTATATTTCTATATTTCTAAAGTTTCCTGTAATAGTCCACTAGCAGTTTTRATTCCATCTAGAGGAGTGGCTTATACAAAAAAAATGGGAACACAGAGCCTAGTAGGAAGAAGATCAAGTTCAAAATTTGATATATTTTTCACAAAAGTCAYTGAGTGAAAAAAAAAGTCTAAAATAACATTCATCAATAGCCTCAAATGTAATAATGAGCAAARGAAACAATTGCTTTGTTAAAGGTAGAATACTGCTTTGCCTTCCATAAATAAGAAACAATTGTTTCTTCTGGGGGCTATTTCAGCACTTGGTTTTTATGGATGCTGTGTTCATGTATCAGGTCTATGGAACGTCCCAAAGTGTTGGATACCTGTTGTCCAACCCATCCCGCACACTGACCTGTACACACTCTACTGCACCTAGAAGTTGTAAATTGGGATATCAATTTTGTTTATAAAAGAAGCACTGCCTTCAACGACTCCAGCTGAAAGTATATTAAATTCTCTCTACTGGAAAGACATCTTTAAGGTATTTAATTACATTATTCTTGATAATTCAGCATTTACCATTTTTTATTCCCTGAATCTCTGCATACTGTACTATAAAGTTCTAACTATTAATGCATTAAAATCACATCAAAATCACCTGTAAAGAATATATAAAACATTAGAAGAGCAGAAGTCAATGAGCTAGACTGTCGAACAAGGTTCAAATTATGAACTCCTCCTATACAAACGCGGCATCAATCAGCYGGGAAGGCCAAGGGGCTCAGTTAACTCCTGAAACTGCAGACTCAGATCTAGATTCACAGGGAGAAAGTTATTTCAAGAGCGAAGTTGTTAAACCACTAACTTGTCTTCTACAACAAAACTAGACYGAAAGAGTTTTTAGACATAAGAGGAAGGATAAAAGTCTCAAAGAAAGACAAAGACTCTCAAAGCGAATATTAGTGAGAACTTAAGACACAGTGATAATCATAATGAAAATATTCTATTTAGTTTTAAAATGGGATGGATATGGATTTTATATATATATATATATATATATTTTTTTTTCATCCAATTTGAAAAAACATTTGCTCTTTTAAGGCCACCTCATTTCTCTAATAGGGGAAAAAAAAAAAAGTTGCCACTCTGACCTCAACAGTGGCAGTTTTTAGTGCCCCGGTTTTAGCACAGCTTTACAGACAACTGTAGCAGCCTAACTGACCTGGAAACAAGCTAAGCAGACTGAGTGCGGACAAATGCACAAATAGCAAAGCTTGTTTGTTTTGTTTTACCTTAGGTACTGACAAATCACTGAACCTGCACTGTATTTTCTGGAATTGCCCTTAGTCAAACTCCTAAGCAGCTTTTACAAAACATAATTACCACGGACGTACTATAATTGTTATGGTTTTCCCATATCCTGATCTCTTTCTTTTCATCTCTAAGGCAATGATACGAAATATGAAATYATAATAGAACAGCACAGTCCTAGAAACACGCTGCTCCCCTGAGCGTTAGCTTTTCACTCGTATTCCAACAACAGCGCAGTAAAACACCCCCTAATTAAACCCATCTTGCCGCCAGCCTTTCCCGAGCCGTGCAAGGCTACAGCCCTTGCGCGGCAGCAGCGGAGAGCTCGGCCTCCCCCTGCAGCCCTTGGTGCTGCTGCCTTCCCAGGCTGCTGGAGGAGAAGGGAGSAAGGCAACAAACCAGGGCAAAGCCACAGGGAAAATCAGCAGCTGCAACATCCACAAACAAGCTAGGGGGTTTCTTTTTCCAATTTGCACCAGGGAAGCCGGCATTCCCAGCAGGTGCTATTCCCAACACACTGTGGGGAAAATCACCCATGCAGATGCTGTTTCCCTTTGGGTGCATATCACACAAATAGCTCCTCATATTTTCATACATGTTTTCATATGCGTTAGACAACTTGCATATTTCTTTATCTCTAATGAACACATCCAGAAGCTCTCTTCATAGGAATGATGTCAATTCCAGTTCAATTTTCTAAGGGAATCAAACCTAGCAATTAATTTATAACGGAGTAACAATCCATAATTTGATGGATGAACTGTCTTTTGGGGATAATTATGGTAAAAGTTCAAAAGCAAAAGGAARAAACAGCTGTTGTCATCTCAATCTATTAACTCTACATAAGTTGCTCAACCATGACCACCAAAAATGAACCAGTATTTCACACTTAGTTTACAAAAACTACACAAAAGGTATTTCCCTTTATAAAATGGCTCACCGAGGCCTATTTTGGAGGCTTAAGCTGATCGAGATTTATGTTGTTTTTATAAACAGTCCCACTTGGGTAGGAATACAAGATAGGAGCCTTAATAACCACGAATCATCACTTTACAAGTGCTCATTTAGGCTACAGAAATACCTTCCCTTTCCTCAACTTTTCAGTAATTTTTTTGTTGTTTACACTGAAAGCAGTTTCAATACAAACTGCAGCTTCAAGAAACATTACTCAGAGTCAGTTGCATCATCTGGAACACCAGTTTAAATTAAACAAGCATAAAAGCCCCATAACAGACATTACTCATTCTGCAATAACACTGTTGGTTTTAGTTACAGTTTCATCCAGGGAAGATAGATAGCAAATACTCCAAGTGTCAGAAGTATCTTATTTATCTCTCCCTCCAGCAATAAAAACAGTATTTTTAACCCCCTCCCTTGGGGCAAAATGAAAGCTAATAAAAGTAACCAAGAGGGCTCTTGGGGCTCTTGCAGCAAAGCACTAATATCACCCTGAGAAGTATGGTCGGGTGGGCACGAAGCAGCAGCAATGCAGCATTCGGGGGCTTTTCTTTACAACGAGTCTTCTCTTAGAGCACTATTTAGAAAAGCAAGCAAGAAAACAAGGAAATACAAACAAACAAAGCAGAGCCCAGCCGGCTACAAGCTTGTTTTCCCATACCTTCTATTTATCTCTAAGTGTCTTTCATTCCCCTCCTCCTGTTTCAGGTTTTAAGAACAGTCAGTACTGAAGTTAAGTAACTAGATAAACTCTGCTGGTGACCAAAATGACAGCTTTAATTAGCAGCACATGGAGAGGACCGACCATGAAGAACCTCCCGCGAAGGCCCAGCTGGTTGTACTCATCAGCTCCCTGGCACCCCACCTTACCCGGCAGGCCTTCAATCCATCCTTCATCTTTGCTTCCACTAACTTCCCCTCTTTTACTAACTTTGTGCCCAACTCCTCCCCATACACAAGCTCCAGTTTAGTGGTTTGCAGAGGGAGGGCAAGAAGGCAGCAGGTGCTCTCCGCAAGCCCCTCAGCAAGCTCTCTTCCTCTCTTTTATCATAGTCCCTATTTTGCGATAGGAAAATCACTTCTCTTGCACTGGACAGCCCAGGGAGTGGAGTTCTGGGCGCCTGCCCACTGCAGCATCTCTCAGATGCGGAGAGGCTGAGAGCCCTGGGGTTGTTTAGCCTGGAAAGGCTCAGGATGGATGTTACCAATCTGCTTAAGAAACGGTRTAAAGAAGATGGAGCCAGTAAAACCAAGCTCACATTCAAGAGCAGTGCCATCCATTTGCTAAGCTGTCAGCACAGCCAGGATTTTCCGCTTGTCCCACCAAATGGATCTCTGCTTTTTTAGACACTCTTTCTTGGAAAAGAATCCTGGCCAGGGAAACCCTGCTATATTCAACTTCAAGAGCAAAAGCAGTGACCAAGGCAGAGGGTTGGACTAGATGACCCCTTCCAAACTCAACTGTCCTGTGACCCTGTGACTTTAATTTCAAAATTATGCTTATAATGTGTCCGATTAGGTAAGAGAACAGGCTCACTTCATCTTTTCCTACAAGGGTCTCAGAAAAGGTGCATCTTCACACACGCAGCTGCTTTCATCTCAGGAAAACAACTCATCTCCTGTGTAGGAATAAAAACAGTTCTTCAAATTGCCATCAAAGGAAAAAATTTGATTATATTTCAACTGAAAGGAGGCAACAGAAATGAAATATGGGACACAAAGTCAGAYTAATGCACTTAGGGATTTATTCAAGCTGTAGTCAACTCTCATTCTTCTT